GAAGGCAGCAGCTCGATGGAAGCCAGGCCCCTTAATGTACCCCAGTTACACACAGCGGATTAGATTTTTAGAAGTGTTCAGCACCTAAAGTTTCATTGTGGTGTTTGTGGCCAGAATTTCAGAGGAGCTTAGCAATCAACGTGCACTCAGAATGTGAGCTCTTTCAGAAATCTTGTTTTCATGTGTGGTTGCTGAGCTATTTTTGAAAGCCTGGCTGCCTGCACAAAGCATACTCTTTAGCTCTCAGTTGCTTCCCTGCCTAGTATATGGTTAGTTATGTGACATGTAAACCCAAATGCAGTATTTATCTTCCACAAATAAATAAATAAAAATTATAAACTAATAATTAATAATTGATTCAGTAAGAAACAAAGAAAAAATAACCAAGGAAAACAGACATAATCAATTCAGGCTCCAAAGTCTGCTCAAACTAATCACAGAGGTCTCAGATCTGCACAATATATGAAAAGATACTTAATTCTATCCCTGTTCAGGAAATCTTTTTAAGCAGATACCTTCAACTCACTGATTCCAATGGAATTTACACTTCATGAGTTTGAAAGAAAAAAAGCAAATATAAGAAGAGAGTTTAAACTAGGTAGACAAGTAAAGAAAGTAGGAAAAATGAACCCACAAGAAAAAAAAAAACAACTATGAACAAAAAAATTGGTAAATTTAAAAATATAACAAAAGTCATTTAAGCCACTGGACACTTGTTGTGTGTAACAAAATCACACAAAAATCAAACAATGAAAATAGAAAAAAAAAAACCATCAAAGCATTCAGTCTGGAACCTCGCTATTTAGTGGCATAAAAAGGCAAGTTTCAAGCCTACAACTCCAGTACTCTGACAATGTCCATTCCATGGAGCACTGAGCTGTAAAATGAGATCATGAAAAGTTTTATAAAAGATTCTTGGAGATCTGTTAGTGAAATAAGATGGCATTAGAACGAGATTTTCAGAGTGCTCTTTCACAACAACTTCCTAATGTTTTGACTGGGTCCTTTTTTTTTAAAGATTTGTATGTTGCCCTTGGGAAGAAAATGATAGAAGATTCCAGCTTTTAGGCATATATTGCAACATAACCAAGGATGAAAAAGAGGAACAAGTCCATCCTAAAGCAAATTTGGGCGTGCATACACAAACCAAGGATATTAAGAATGATGCTACATTCCAGGGCTGGAACAGACCTCAAGAGATGATGTACTTGTCTCCTTTCCCCCAAGACAGGCTTTAATGAAAGCCTGGAAGAGAATGAGAGGAACTGAATTACCATTCAGGACCTTTGGTCAAGTGTGAAGATGAAGAGTCTAACCTGAGAAAAGCACTTCCACAGCTCCCTTTGGGAAATGCCCACTTCTCATCCCAGACTGCCACCAGATCACAAACATAGTTTTGATTAATAAGTTCAGATTCATAAATTTATCACTTTTAGATGAGTCACAACACTTATGACATGGCTTTTTACATGTAGTGAAGGCTCCCACAGCTATTCCATGTCTGAACAACAGAGAAAAATTGGATAAAAAGTGATTTAGATTCCTAAGTCTTCACTTGTGTCTTAAACTAACTTTTAAGAACTATGGCCACCATTTTGCGCTACTTATTATTTTCTAAAACCAACTTTCAGCAAAGCATGACTTCAATAGAGTTTGGTTAAAAAAAAAAAAAAAAAGGCACATTCCTAACTGTGCTACAGATTCCCAATGGGATTTGGAAAACAACTTAATCCCACTGCACCTGGATTCTCATCTGTAAAACTTCCAAATTGCACAGTAAGGACTTCAGAGTATTATCTAGAGTGCTAGGTATAAGCACAGCAGCTTTTCACAACACTGATCTTATACTAGGAGCTTTTAGGCTCAACTACAGCATAAGTTATGACTTTTATCTTTTTTCTAATTCCTTAAGAAAAAAGAAGAAAAACAGAAGATGGTTTCCTGTTCTGCCAAAAGGAAGAGAGGGTGGGTGCAAGGGTAACATACAAAACATGCCCAGGTTCACCACTCTTCCTGTTTGTCTCTGCAAAATTACATGACAGATGACTCTTAGCTAGTTTCAGCTTTGCTAATTTGGATGGCACTCACTTTCTTGCATGGTCTGGGGAAGAATAGTGTCTCACTCCAGAGTAATGCCTGAGCACCGATGCTGTTGCTCTAGTGCTAGAGGCAGAAAGTTCTAGTCCATGGAGAGTGAAAGTGACTATCTGCAAAGGGATTTTTACATTTTACAGACTTAAAGCATATTTAGGCTTCTAAATCAAAAGCTTATATCTGACTTCTCAAGGATTTTGGTGGGAGTCTAGCAGCCTTAATACCTTTATACATCTTTCCAGAACTACTGGCAAACACACAAAGTGAAAAAAAAATATTATTGGGATCACTTTTATGTCTTCTTTCTGACTGCCTTCTTTCCTCTGCTTAAAATCATAGCAATCTTGATGCCTGACAATCATAGACAAAGAATAAATATACTTTATGAAGAACTTAATAGAATTTTTCAGGTGGAATTGAGTTTTTCACAGCTTTGAGATGTAAGAATCTTTTAGATCTCAGAGATCATGGTTTCCTGGTTGCCAGAAATCAACAAAAGCCATAGCCTCACTCACTAACAAAGAGGAAAATGACATGGAGAATACTAGAGAAGGTAATACAGAACCTGCTGCTTAAACTTATAAATCCACCATGATACCATACACTGCAAAGAGCTCCAGACAGGATGTCTGTCTGTTTGCAGCACAGTATACACATCAGCTTCTATTCTTCAAAGCTCTACAGCAACAGCAGTATGACATGGCAGAACTAAGGGTTAATAGCTCTGCTAACTTCCCTATAAACTCAGAAATCTCTGTTCAGCACTATGTTCTATGCTATGTGTGCTGTATTTGAAAAGCACATTTCTCAATAATAATTTTATACTATTTTATGTTCTAATTCAAGCAGAAGTTAAAAGTTAGATGAAGGCTGTGCAAAATCAGATGCAGGAGGTGAGATAAAACAATCAGAATGATGCATTATGTATGTAAAAGCTTGGTATTACTATGTTTGGTTGCAGTAATATGGATCAAATTTGACCATTTTAAAAGCTTAGCACCTCATTTTGCCTGTGAGTCTACTGCTTTAATGAGTAAGGCTGTATGAAGAATGATACGCCATTCCCCACGAGTGTGACAGCATGTGATGCATCGCAAAAGGATATGCATTCTCCCTGAAACTGAAGTAAGACAGAGAAATGAACCTAAGGTGGAGCTCAGAAGTTCCAGCTACTTCCAAGACAAGCTCCCAGCAACTAGGAATGTTTAGCACATACTCTGCCATATGTAAGGCCCAGCACTACGCCTTTTCTTCAGAACAGAGGGCAGTATTTTTACAGCTTCTCTCCCTCTGCTTCCCTTCTGTTGCTTCCTCACAAATGTGGACTGTGCAAGACCACTGAAAGGACAGAAATGAAAGGGCTATGCAAAGAGAAAATCTGATTAAGTAAACAGAACAGTCTCCTCTTTTATCATTCTAACTTCCTACCATTAAATCGTTACTTTTACCATTTTACTTTCTGAAAATTTTGCACAGAAATGCTTAATACCAGCTCAAGCTACTAAAGACAACTTTAGGAAAGGCTTTAAGTGAAAACCTTTGAATTTCAAAGTTCGTGATCTAGCTAAAAATAAGATGTTCCTAATAGCATTCATGGAACTTTTGCAAACTCAAAGGCCATCTAGTGACTAAAGTTAAAAATCACACATTTTTAACATGGCAATACTTTCATACTTTAAACGCTTCCTATTTTTTAGTGTTAACAAACAGGTCTGTTGGGTAGGAATGCATGTGACATTGTTTGATGGGTAGTTTATTTTAGGAGCATAATTTCCCTGAAACTATAACACTAATGTGATACAATAAAGAATCAGGCCTTATGTTCTATGACAAATTCATTCAAAACAGGTTGCATTTAAGCTCACCATAACACAAATAGATGGATAAAATCTGTTATACCATCATCTCAGTAGACATCTCTCTGCTCATTTGGTATAGGTTTCCTTGACTAATTTTGTATATCTAGGCTGTATGGTCCCTACAGACTTACTCTGACCACTGTAGGCAGTTACCACTGCAGGCCATTTACTACTGACTCAGTTATTAAAAAGGACTCTTCCAAGTTCAACCTTGAATCTGAAAGCCCACTGTGCTTCCTGTGTTAACAGAGCTCATTCAAGTTATTAAAAAGAATAAGGAGCAGCATTTCCCCCCAATTTTTTTCATTCTTTTGGACCAAGACCAGATCTTTAATTGTTTTTTCCTCTTTTCCGAGTAACAAGAATTCAAGAGGCAGTATCAAAATTATGCTAATAAGAGAAACATACGGTGCAGTGCTTGTGTAGCGAGGCTTTGAAGTTCGCACATGGTTAAGTTGGATTAAGTCTACATCGGCATTGTCAATGTCTTCAAAATTTACTGCACCAACACAGCCACTGTTTGGATAGAAAGGAAATCAAAGATATGTACATTATTCATAAGACAGCTGGTGGAAGCAGCTGAACCATATACTGCATGCTCCAAAATTCTAGTTATTTATTAAAACTGTCCACAAGAAAAAACATGGAGATGAACTGCCCTGTGTGCTTGGCATGTCCCAAGATGAAAACAATCATCTGCTGAACTTGCAGCACATAACAAATGACCGCTCTAGTACATATGTGCAGAGAGGAGGCTTGGGAAGAATGGAAATAGGAGAGAAATGTGTCATCTCATGTCCTTTTGGCTATGCCCATGATCAGATTGGGATATTCTTACAAAGAGAAGAATCCTGATTTCTAGTTTACCATCATCTGCTTTCTAGTTTACAGGTAAAAGGCTGGAGTCACCTGCAAGCAGAGGAGACTTAGTGCACACTCTCCCTTGGCACCAGAAAACACCTTAAGATTAGATAACATAGGCCATCTACAAGTCTTGCTTCAGAAAATGAGAGATGGATTGCTTGGGCTTAATCAAAAATGTAGAAAGTAGAAACAAACCAGGGACATTGTACTTACGTATACAAAGGGGTATGACAGGTTCGAGAGCTTCGGCTTACACTGTTAAAGACAAAATAGATCAATCACCTTTTTTTCGCCAGACAGAATATTCTGATAGAATATTTATGAGGTCTCAAAAGAGAGGTGGTGACAAGTCAAAGTTTTGCTCTTGGAATGATGCAATGCTCATTTGAATTTGGTAAAAGACTGTGGTAAATTATTAGATTGGCATATATGCTAAATGACCCAGTTCAGCAGGCAGAATCTTGTATTTTAATCTTCATCCTCAGATACTGGGACTTCAGTCAATTTCCTAGGATAGTATAAGCAAGTTTTCTTTAGAAATGAACTGCTTCTCTACTTGTAACACTTCTCTCATTCAGTTATTGAGAACACGGGAGAATTTAACATCAGGTCTGAATTTCTCTCTTGGTCTGTCCATCCAAGCTGCTCTCACTGGCCATGTCTATATTCCTTTGAAAGAGCAACATTCAAGAAACCGTAATGATAGTGTTTTCTAGCTGCCTTCCACCCTGCAGAGGTACCTGTCTCTCCCATTGTATCCCTGACTGTGCCCAGTAGAACACCTGTCCATTGAGTTTGCCTGAGCAAACCTGCTGGTGCATGATCTGGAAAGGAGGCAATTCTAGCTTTCCTATGTTGTTTGACCAACCTTTCTATCCCCCTCTCTACTTGGCTCTTATCTGAGCCCTTCTGAAGCTCCTGTCACCCTTTACAGGGCTCATCTAAAATGCTCCACTATAAGATTGTTTTGGATTCTACAGAGAGCAGATAAAACCTTCAGTTTGTACATGTGTATGATTATTGTGGTGTTTTCATAAATGTCATGTCTCGATGTGAACATCAGATGTATGCAGTCAGGACATTCACTTTACATATTTCGTCTGTTCTGCTTTTTATATTTAACTTTCTCACAGGAGAAGCATTTTAGAGTATACTTTCCATATAGTTATTGATTGAATATTTTAACTTCTCTAATTGTAGAATGCTTCAGAATTTAGTCTTCTGAAATAATTAACTGTGCACAGACTTCATAAAGGAAGTGTTCAGAGGACCCCAATATTCCCAAAAAATTAAGCTTAGAAAACAACAGGTCTCTGTGGAGAGGTAAAAGATCTTGTCTGAAATCTGCCCCAGAAGCCTCCAACAACCTAAAATCATAATTAGATGTTTCTTGTAAGGTAACATTACCTAATTAATTTGGCTTAATAGATTCTTACGTAGCAATCAGAACAAATTGCAGGACTGAATTTTAGTTTAGTAAAAATAATAACTACAATTAATAATCACAAGTAACAATGTGAGATTTGTTATGCTACAGCATCATTCCTATCCCAATTTTTCATAAATATCCTTATCCTCTCTTTTGGTACTGTGTATGCATATCTTCTTCTGTAGCAATTTACAGGGGAGGGAGAGGGAAAAAGTATGAAATCATTTGAGGCAATTACTGGAGTGTGCTGATGACCTTAAATGTTCACTTGGGACTGTTTTTATTTGAAAACATTGCTGTGGGTTTATGTGTATGACCTACACAAAATTTAGGCTACATTTCATTAGCAAAACCTAAAACGAGGTGGCAAGAAATTGTTCACTGACTTGGCTTATTTCAGGTTCAGGATTGTATCTCCTTTTTGTTAAACACTGGGAAACAGGATCAGCCGACACTTCCACTGTTGATTCTGGAGGCTGGATTTTGGAAGGTAATATATTATCCCAAGGAACTTACTTCTTCATAAGCTCTAGATCAACAGTAAAAAAGAAAAGAATAAAGTTCCCATATAACCATCAGTGAATGACATCGGTAGTTAGATATTAAGGAATTATGTGACAAAGAAGGATGTAGAAAATAACAAAGGTGCATATTTCTAGTTTAAAGGAAAATAGAAAGCTTGGAATTGTATGTTGCTTGTTGGGAACAAGTAGTTATGGTACAGTTTCACAGGCTTATCTTCTTTAAAACTTAATTGAAAGAGGTAGTTTATCTTACAATAAGCTTACAGTGATTATGGGTTTTATTTTGTCTGAATTTGAATAATCAGTTAAGTGAGACAAGACATAAATAGAGATTAGACACTAGTCATATCATGCCTGTCACAGGCGTTGAAGACAGATGTACAGAATGCCCTTTTGGAAACTCCAGTTTCTCTTCACTGCCTATAGAGGAAGTGGAGATGAAAGGCACAGACTGGATGCAAGCTTTTAGATAACTGAAGTTCATAAGACGAATCATATGCTAAATGCTGTTAAAACACCAGAAGTTCCAAGTGATAAAAAAATTGTTTGTAGTCTTATGTGTCCTGCTATCTAAAGGTGCATAGCAATAAAAAGAAGATGAAAACATGAAGCAAAGCACAAGCAAAATCTGGTGTCTCACTTTTGAGTATTTGATTTGTAGAAATAGTCCCTTGATTTTTCTTCTCTCCACCTTGCAGAAGGATCACTTGATTCCTAAAATAAAATCAAATACATGGCAGAAAGCAATGCCATCAACATATACGATACTATGATTGCTTGTTTAAAGAATGAACTGTATGTATCTGCATTTTCCTAATTTATTTTCTTTTGCATCAGAATGTGAAACATGCATTTTCATATACTTCACCAGCCAGCACTGGAGATCAAGAATGGATCTATTTCTAAGGAGTCTTACTCAGGAAGGAAAATTCAATATCGTAAATACAAGTTTAAAAACTAACAGAATGTCCTTGCCTCTCTATTCCTCAGGAATGTAGATTTCCATTTGTTATATTATTTATAAAATGTCATAGCAAACACACTTTGCAGTCCCTCACATATGCCTGGTGTACTTGTATGATGTTCATTGCTACAAACTGTGTTCCTCAGGGTTCAATTCTAGGGCCAGTTCTGTTCAATATATTTATCAACGATCTTGATGTAGGACTTGAATGCACCATTAGCAAGTTTGCTGATGATACCAAACTGGGAGGAGCTGTTGACTCTCTTGAGGGACAAAAAGCCTTGCAGAGGGATCTAGATAGATTGGAACATTTGGCAATGATTAATGGGATGAAATTTATCAAGTCAAAATGTTGGATTCTGCATTTAGGATGGAGTAATGTCATGCACAAATATAAACTGGGAGAGGAGTGGCTGGAGAGCAGCCCTGCAGAACAGGATCTGGGGGTGCTGGCTGACAGCAGGCGCAGTATGAGTCAGCAGTGTACTCTGGCAGTCAAGAGGGTAAACCACATCCCAGGGTGCATTGGACACAGCATAACCAGACAGTCAAAAGAGGGGATTATCCCACTGTAACAATTTTGTAACAACACAAAAAATTAAAATTATTGGAATGATGGTCACCATTAAAATCTGGTCATGCTAACATAAAGCTACCCAAAATATAGCTCTTATTTCAATGTAATTAGATGAAGAAATGAAAAAGTCAGATTTCACTATACTACTGTAATCACTGCCAAAAGTCTGTTAAATGGAAAGCAGACTAAAACCAAAATTATTTACATATGTTTTCTGTCATTATAAGAAGAGCAACAGACACTTGCCTTCAGACTGGGATCCATACAATATGCAAAAATATGGTTTTGGTCAGGTAGAGCAGGAGCAACTTTCACTGAGGTTATCCAGTCTGAAAGAAAGGGCTTCCTATTGTGTTAATCAATATGCAGCAATATTTACTTTTTTAAACTGGATGAAAACAACTCATGACTTCCCATAAAAATCGATGCACCAATTTTCAGTTACCTGTTACTATTCTGAGTTACAAACTTCCACAAAAATACATTAAATTACACGGAAGATGAAAGTAAGTGATAAATAATATCACAGCATTCATTGTTATGGTTTGGCCTACTTCACATGTTGTCATGTACAGTACTCACTGTATAAAGGAAAGTATCCAAGTTAGCAAACGTAATAATAAAAACTTGTTAATGCAACTCCAACTAGTAATGGCATATTGCATTTCTGCAGTTACATAATCTTTGCCAACCCTGAAAGCAATAAACAAGATATTCCATCAGCAGTATGTGACTGACTTCCTAAAGACATTTCTCTCTCTCCTTTGTCCTCTCAACTTCATATTCCAATAATCTGAACCCTCCCTGACCAGGTCCCGTAAATCAGGCTTACCCACTGAGAAGCCATATCCTGAAGTTACTGTAGAGTCATGTATGTAGTGACTGGTGAGCAAGTACACGCATGCTGATAACCAAGTGAGCTGCTGCCAAATAGAATGGCATCTTCATGGTCCTCCTCTGGACTTGCTCCAATAGCTCCATGTCCTTCTTACGTTGGGGGCCCCAGAGCTGGATGCAGTACTCCAGGTGGGGTCTCACAAGAGCAAGGTAGAGGGGCAGAATCACCTCCCTTGACCTGCTGGTCACGCTTCTTTTGATGCAGACCAGGACACGGTTGGCTTTCTGGGCTGCCAGCACACACTGCCGGCTCATGTTGAGCTTGTCATCAACCAACACCCCCAAGTCCTTCTCCTCAGGGCTGCTCTCAATCCATTCTCTGCCTGGCCTGTAGCTGTGCTTGGGATTGCCCTGAACCATGTGTAGGACCTTGCACTTGGCCTTGCTGAACTTCATGCGGTTCACATGGGACCATCTCTCAAGCCTGTCAAGGTCCTTGTGGGCAGCATCCCTTCCCTCCAGCATGTCAACTGCTCTACACAGCTTGATGTCATCGACAAACTTGCTGAGGGTGCACTCAATCCCACTGTCCATATCACCAACAAAGATCTTAAGCAGTGCTGGTCCCAATACCAGCCCCTGAGGAATGCCACTTGTCACTGGTCTCTACTTGGACATTTAACTGTTGACTGCAACTCTTTGGGTGCGACCACCCAGCCAATTCCTTATCCACTGAGTGGTCCATCCATCAAATCCATGTCTGTCCAACTGAGAGACAAGGATGTTATGCAGGACAGTGTCAAATGCTTTGCACAAGTCCAGGTAGATGACGTCAGTTGCTCTTCCCTTATCTACCAATGCTGTAACCCTGTTGTAGAATGCCGCTAGATTTGTCAGGTACAATTTGCCCTTAATGAAGCCATGTTGACTGTCACCAGTCATCTCCTTGTTTTCCATGTGCCTGAGCATAGTTTCCAGGAGGATCTGCTCCATGATCTTGCCAGGCACAGAGGAGAGTCAGTAGACCTGGGCCTGTAGTTCCCCAGGTATTCCTTTCTTCCCTTTTTAAAAATGGAGGTTATGTTTCCCCTTTTCCATTCAGTGGGAACTTCACTGGACTGCCACAGCTTCTCAAATATGATGAAGAGTGGCTTAGCAACTTCATCTGCCAGTTCCCTCAGGACCTGCAGATGCATGTCATCAGGCCCCATGGACTTGTGCAACTTCAGGTTCCTTAGATGGTCTAAAACCTGTTTGTCTCCTACAGTGGGCGGTTCTTCATTCTCCCAGTCCCTGCCTTTGCCTTCAGTGACTTAGGCTGTGTGGCTACAGCACTTGCTGGTAAAGACTGAGGCAAAAATTCATTCAGTACCTCACCCTTCTCCATATCTCAGGTAACCAGGGCTCCCATTTCCTTCCAGAGGGGGCCCACATTTTCCCTAGTCTTCCTTTTATCACTGACATACCTGCTTTTCTTGTTGCCCTTGATGTCCCTGGCCAGATTTAATTCTATCAGAGCTTTAGCTTTCCTAACTTGATCCCTGGCTGCTCAGACAATTTACCTGTATTCCTCCCAGGCTACCTGCCCTTGCTTCCAGCCTCTGTTGGCTTCCTTTTTGTGTTTGACTTTGCCCAGGAGCTCCTGATTCATCCACTCAGGCCTCCTGGTGTGCTTGCTTGACTTACTCCTTGTTGGGATGCATCACTCCTGAGCCTGAATACTAACCAGCTTTCTTGGGCCCCTCTTCCCTCCAGAGCTTTATCCCATGAAGAGGCCAGTCAGCTCTCCTCAAGTCCAGGGTAGTGAGCTTGCTATGTGCCCTCCTCACTGCCCTGAGGATCTTGAACTCCACCATTTCATGGTCACTGCAGCCAAGGCTGCCCTTGAGCTTCACAATCCCTGAGGCAAAAATTCATTCAGTACCTCACCCTTCTCCATATCTCAGGTAACCAGGGCTCCCATTTCCTTCCAGAGGGGGCCCACATTTTCCCTAGTCTTCCTTTTATCACTGACATACCTGCTTTTCTTGTTGCCCTTGATGTCCCTGGCCAGATTTAATTCTATCAGAGCTTTAGCTTTCCTAACTTGATCCCTGGCTGCTCAGACAATTTACCTGTATTCCTCCCAGGCTACCTGCCCTTGCTTCCAGCCTCTGTTGGCTTCCTTTTTGTGTTTGACTTTGCCCAGGAGCTCCTGATTCATCCACTCAGGCCTCCTGGTGTGCTTGCTTGACTTACTCCTTGTTGGGATGCATCACTCCTGAGCCTGAATACTAACCAGCTTTCTTGGGCCCCTCTTCCCTCCAGAGCTTTATCCCATGAAGAGGCCAGTCAGCTCTCCTCAAGTCCAGGGTAGTGAGCTTGCTATGTGCCCTCCTCACTGCCCTGAGGATCTTGAACTCCACCATTTCATGGTCACTGCAGCCAAGGCTGCCCTTGAGCTTCACATTCCCCACCAGCCCCATATTGTTTCTTCAGAACTAGGTCCAGCATGGCACGTCCCCTTGTTGGCTCCTCTATCACTTGGAGAAGGAAGTTATCATTGATGCATTCCAGGAACCTCCTGGACTGCTTATTCCCTGTTGTCCCTCCAACAGATATTGGGGTGGCTGAAGTCTCCCTTGAGGATCAGAGTTTGTGAACAGGAGGCTGCTCCTATCTGTCTATAGAGGGCCTCATCTGCCCGGTCTTCCTGGTCAGGTGGCCTGTAGCAGACCCCTGCTATAGTGTCCCCTGTCCCTGCCCTCCTTTTAATCCTGACCCATAAGCTCTCAGTCAGCTCCTCATCCATCCCCAGGTGGAGCTCCATGCACTCCAGCTTGTCATTGACATAGAGGGTGACACGCCCTCCTTGTCTCCTCTGCCTGTCCTTCCTAAAGAGCCTGTACCCTTCCATCCCAACACTCCAGTCATAGGAGCTATCCCACCATGTCTCCATGATGCCAATAACATCATAGCCCTGCACGGGTGCTCATGTCTCCAACTCCTCTTGTTCATTCCTCCTGCTATGTACATATTTATGATTGTCCTTGAGTTGCTAATTTGATGTTTTTCAAGTTGCACATTTTTTTGCTCTTTGCTTTACATTTTGTTGCCTCTAACCTACCTTTCTTCATTCTCTTTCTGCAGGCAGATAAAAGGTTTCATCTCACTGAGTACCTATGTTACAAACTGGGACTGCACCAGCATTGCCTGCAGTCATTTTCTATCATTATTTGAAAGGTAGGAGAGGCTGGAATCCTACTTTGATATGCTTCACACTCAATGTACTGCTTAATCCTGGATTACTACTGGATGATTACTTCTCCAGACTAATGATTACTCTGGAGAAAATGCTTCTTGCTTCAGGAGAGGAAGCACTGGGAAGGGAACTCTTCCTATACAAAGGCCATTGGAAATGAGTATAATGCAACCACAATTATTTCAACAAGTTCTGTATAAAATTCTTCAACAGACCCTCCTAAAGTAACAGTGGAATAAAGATAAGTTCTTCAGACAGATAAATAATTGATTAGAAGATCAAAGAAGGAGGGAAGGGGTAAATGACCAATTTTCCAGGTGGATGGAGGTCACTGGTAGAGAGATCTGGAGGTAACCCATCTGGGCTTGGAATTTTGTTGCTTTAAATATTCACAAATACCTGGAAATAGAGGGTTGGAAGTTAAGTGATGGGTTCAAAAAGCAAATTGATATATTCATGAAGACAAATCTATGAATCTATGTCTACTGATTACAAAAACACCATCTCCTGGTCATGAATCCCTGGTTCACAAATCATTACATTATAGGAAAATATACAGAGGAAGTATGATGACATTCTTTGTTAATTATCCACAGACTTGGATGGAATACTGGACTAGTTGGGCTTTTGGACAAATCCAAATATGGCCACTCTAGTAGCAGCATGAGTTAACTACTTATTTCCTATAGAAAAGGGTTACTATCAAGTCTACAGGTAAACCCTATAGTCTTTCCCATTTCCCTGTTTTTGAAGAAAACTATATCTACAGATGTGTCAGCTTCCAGTAGTGGCAAGATGTCATCTCTGCTCCTTATCGCACCTGTCAAATACCCTGGTTCCTTCTGCAATCTCTATGGCCATCTCTGTGTTAAGCCAAAATAGTATAGTGATGACAAACTGGGTATGAGGGTTTCATCACCAGGTTTCCAGTTACAAATATACCTTCACGGTCAAAGACTGAGAACACGGCAAAGAAACTTGAGACCACAGAGAAAAGGTTATGACATTCTGTTGTCATGTGAGTGAGAGAAGGGGCTTCTACAGGCAAACACTGTCAACTTCCTAAAGACCTTGTCTTCTAGGACTGAGCACCTTCCCTATACTGACTGAGAATACACGAAGAATAGCTTTTCAGCTGTCTCCCTTCTCTGGCAGTCTCTGATTCTCCAGTCTTAGAACAACCTTCTTTGTCAGCTTGTCACCTTTGCTTTACTATCTCAGAGCCTCACTGTTCAATAAACTTGCTTTGCTCAGTAGATGCAAAAGGCTCCTGGGGAAGTTCAAAGTAGCACTGTTGACTGCCAAAGCCATAACATTACATCTCACAACAGAGAACCTCCTGTCTATCGCAGCTGTTTTATATACCTCAGCTCATCTGTCTCAAAGGCTGCTTCTGCCTCTGTTGTTGTTTTTTTTCCATTCATCCCCAACACAGTGGAGAAAGTGACTGCAGAATTTGCTTGCAAAATGACTGACTGATCTCTCTTTCAGCACAACTTCCCAAAACAACTTAGCTGTGGAATGTCTCAGGACTGATATTTAGAAGGATTAGCAAGTTTCATTACATCATGTGCCTGGGGGTTGGTAGCTGGCTCTCTGAATCATACAGCTGAAATCTAGAATTTGTTTATGCAGTCTCATTAAAAATAGTGGCTTAAAACTCAACTACTTTTTATATCTATATTTACACATTAATAGTTAATACCTCAGCATCACAGGAAAACTTGTAAATGAATACTAGATTTGGAAAAACATTTGCACAGCTTTCCTTAAGAAATTTATGCAGGACTATATCTGTTTCAAGATTTGCCCCTGAGTTAAGTTTGACTTTTTCTTACAGCTTCAGTGGAGTCAGTATTTCTCTCTAATTGTGAACTTTACCCAATGAAAAATCACCAGAAAGCCACTAGATAGTTTCTGTCTGCTTTCTGGAACTACTCTCCATTTCGGACCACTTTCTTGACTGTAATGTGGGTGACTGACTTGATGACATTCAGTTTCAGATTTTGTCTGTGTTCAAGTGTGTCTCTATCTGCCAGAGTATCTCTGTCTCTGTCTCTGCTTGCTTTTCTCTGCATTGGAAAAATTAATGGTCAGATAGAATTGCATATCTCAAATCTTCTTTCCCCATCACTTTTCCAGAGGCTTGCAGAAAAAAACAGCTGATCAGTTCTGATTGATGTCTGAGGTCTAATTTCATATGTGAATGGAGAACACAGTAACTAAGAAATAAGAGTGAAAATTATATGGGATGAGCCAGGAAAAAAATGAAAATTATGGAGTATATTTTTTTTATCTCTTGCGGTTTCTTGGGCTCTTTTCAGTTCTGTTATATGACTGCAGTAAGCTTAAAGTGATTTAAGATGCAAAGTTCGAAGACAGAAACAAGGAACCAAAACCACTGCCTGAATTTATAGCACGTAGAGACTTTATGGTGACAATAACACAGATAAAGTATAGCTAACTGTGAAGTGAGAGTGTTATCTCTGCATAGTAATATGGAAAAAGGAGCTTATTTACATTTATTTACCATGTTCTAAGAAATGCCTCCCCCATCTATAAGCAACTTGCCTGAGTGCTCATAAAATTTTGTTCTAGCTGTAATGAGCATTTCACTATGAAAATCATTGGAATTGGCCTAATCTTCATAAAAATTTAACCATATTGCTTACTGCTAATTATGTCTGCTTTTAGAAGCCGTGGGTAGATATTTCTGCATTCCAGAATTTTCATCAGAAAAGTCTGAATATTAACCACCAACCCAACTTTGTTTCATTTTAAAAACAGTGAATTTCTATTTTGATGCTGTAATCAATACGAAATGATCAGACCCAACTTTATGTGTAACACATTGACATAAAATAAGAGGGTAATGTGTACTTCGACCAACATGTGATGGCAGTCCTAAAGAACTTCTGTTCTCTGATCAACTAGACACTGGAATAGGTCTTTAAATGTGCTGCACTGCAACTTGTCAGGAAATACTAGAAGAAATATCCAGGGGATTTCCTGACTCTGAAGTGATTTGTTATTTTGGTTTACTTTAAAACAGGTGCTAATTAGGACTATTGTAATTGTGACTAACTTCACAATTTACCTAAATACATTTTTTTAAAAACATTATTTACCTTCAAAGATTTTATTTTTTTTTTTAGCATTAGAATGCTCATTAGAATTTGCTGACTGGTACCTCTTTGCTACAGCAGGGACAGTGAATCATACAAACACTCTACTGCGGTTATTATATTCAATTGAAATATTCTGGACAAATATATTTTACAAGGTTGTTCTTTCAGGACCTTGGGGGATGGAGTTCAGGAACTAGTTGTATTTATTTGTTAAGCATCACCAACTTCTTTGGTGATTAAGAAATAAAAATAGTAGTTTGCTTTACCTCTGAGTCGTGCCCTGACAGAAGCAGCTGACACAGTCCTGGAGGTCCATCTTCTGTTCTGGTTGGTTTCCTCCAGGAGGATCATCTGACTCCTGTGAGCAGTCTGGCCTCTCTTTCCTGTGATGGGGACGCGCTGGTGAGGTTTACATCACTGTAGTCTACCAGGGATTCAATAGCTCTTCCAATATTGGGCTGCAGGACAGCATCTGCTCCTGGACTCACAAAACCTGAGCAGGGATCCACTAAAGGCACATCATCCTGGTGTGGAAATAAAGGGTAATTTGACCCTTCTGGAGGGGTGAATGGATTGAATTTAAGGAAAGAATTACTGTTTTTCTCTTCAAAGCTGGCAAAGCCATGTCTGTACTCAGGACCTCTCACAACAGGCATGCACATCTTCTTTAACAGACTTCGATACTGTTGGGGATCCATCTTGTGAACTGGTTCAACTGACAAGGCAGACTTTTTAAAGGCACTTGCCTGCCTTTCAGCTCCATGGGAAACCATGGTCATTCTCTTCTATCATCCCTATGTGGCGGTAAACTTAAAAGACTCCAATTGCTCCTGTTTCTCCAAGTTTCTGAAGTCCTAGCCAACAAACCACAGTAAAACCAGAGGTCATTCTCCAGAAGATCAGTACGTAGAAACCATAAAGGGCAAGACAGCAGTTAAAGTAGTGAATTCTTTCATGAAAAGAGATTTATCAAGTACGGTACAGACCGAACACAGCCATTGAAGGAGCAGAGAGGTCTTTTGTTGCCTGGTAACGATGGAAACCACCTCACCATGAAATGTCTCCTGGTGTGAAACAGGGTTCATGCCTACCACAGGAATCTAGTCCTTCAAGTGGCCACACATAGCAACTTGAAATGGCACTACCAGTTACTTATTCATCTAGTAGAGGCAAAATTAAGAAGTTTTCAGTCTTACTGAGAATTACACGGTGTTTTCATTGAAGTATTTTAAAATAAGCTATTCTCTTGGTATCACAAATATGACTTACACCGAAACACAGATTTAACACAAAATTTATCAAACAAAACCGCAGCTAAATGCAAATGTAGAAAACTTACAATTATTACTTAGAATGAGTGAATCACATTGACATCAGAGTTTTCCATGCAGTTTAACTTCCTCCAGAGTTTTGCCATTTTTTCTATCAGGTTGGCAAATCCATTAATGTCTCAGGCCAGAATATGCAGCACTCATTTCCGAATCCCAAGCGGATGGTGTTCATTTAGCAATCTAAACAAAAGCAGTCTGATTTATAGAGGTGCTCTCTGCATAAATTCAGTGCGATCTGCAAACGTCTGGCACTTAGGAGAAATAAAACTAAGTTTATTTGGACAGCTACATTCACATTTTGGGGCCTTTACTTTGGGGCCTTATCAGGAAAAACTAGGGAACAGTGTCTGATCATTCCCTCATTTATGTTAGTCTTACACAGATGTAACTTCCCTAAATTCCTAACTTGCTCTTGATTAAGACAAAATCAGAAATGGGCCTAAAGTATTACAGTACAGGTTTATAGTAAGAAAAAGTTGTGTTCCCTGATGCAGAACTGTGGTGATTTTTCTTTGGAGTAGCTCACTGATGGAGCAGAAAATAAACAAACAAACAAATAAATAAAGCTTCCTTCTTTATTAGGATAGCTTTCATTTCTAGGTCACAAGAACTAAAATGGGTAAACAGTGACAGCTGAGAACACTATATATGCAATACTAGCATTGTAAGGCTAAGCCAACGCTACGAAAACACAGAACTTTTTGTTGGAAACAACTTATGTCCATTTTCTATCATACTTGTACATTCAAGTTAGTGAAAAGATAGTTCCAAATTTGACTTCTGCCTGTAACAAGACTTTAAAATGCCATAATGCCATCTGTATTTACTGACATTCAGTAATCTCCATACCAAATACATTCCATTTTACACTAGAAATAACATCCGGTGTTGCAGATTGACCTTTCCCTCCCTGCTTACCTTTTCCTGGAAAGCTTTAGAAAGAGGAGAAGTAAAGACATAGGAGCCAGATAAGGCGCGGGATGGAAGACATTGCAAGGATGACTCATGTTTTGTGGCATTCATTTTGCAGAATGAAATGCAATTAAAACTTTATCTTGGATTTCATTGACAGACATTCTGTCCAGATTATCCTGGGAAGTAAATTTGCCAGTAAGGCTGAATTATTTCTACTGTCAATTTTCCCAAATGATCCATGCTTTAAGGAAGAACATTGATGAGCTGGTCATGTATCTAAGCTAGTTCTCTCTACTAGATGTCTGCCTTTTACTTTGCTTCAGGATTCCCGAGGAGCAGTCATTTTGGTTCTTTGATTTAAACAGCTATTTTTATTCTCTGGCACACTAACAACATACCAAATTTTCCAATACAGAGAAATCTTCTTGCCAGACTTTTCCCCCCAGATAATTCATTTTTTCCCTCCTCCATTCTTTCAAAAAAATCCTTTCTCTAACCTACTACAAATTAAATGTTCGTATGCCAGAGGAACATTCATGTGCCCCGGGATTCCAGACACTTTCTTAATTGCCTTTTTGTAGCAGTGCAATAAAGACTGAACAGCACGGCTGTAAATGCTTATGACACTGACTAGATCAGCACAGTTATTTGCTTCTGCAGTGGAAACTTCCTTGGTCTTTTTTTTTTT